GGCATCAGATTTTTACACAGCCTATTTCATGTTGATGAACAATAATATAAATTGGTTAATTTTTTTTTTTATCTAAGATAATATTCTAAGGTTGGAAATATTCTTGGTAAGGGGGGGACAAAAATTATCGACGAATAACCTTTCCTTCAAAACGTAAATAAGTTACTTGGGGTCAAGAATGACCGATAAACGACTAAACAGTATGGCTATATTAAATATTGAATCAGACATCACAAAAATTTTACAGTATGATGACATAATCAATGAGTATAATTCCTTTAAGCTCGTAAAAAAAATATATAAATTGTAAATATTGTTTTGTAATAATAATAAATAAACCTATTTTATATTTGTGACTAATTTATATAGATAACATAATGTTTAAAGTTTAAACTGTGCTTTCTTTTTCTTACAACTAAAAATTGTTTAATGTAAATTTTTGATTAAATAATCAATGGGAACTGGTTCCATCGGAAAATACAAAAATTGAATACATTAAAAACAAAAATGTAATAAATACTCATAAGTTATTAAGCGCTTGAAAAGATAACGATAACGTACGGCTTACGGGTGATTACTGGAAGGTAAGCTCCGACATGCTCAGTAGGTGGAAAAAGTTAAATAATTTTTGTTGTGGGGGGGGAAGGAGCGGAAAAACGTTAGCACCCGGAGTCCAAATTTCTGAATACGTCTCTGACATTAGTAAAATGCAATAATACTATATATTGGCATTCAGAAAGTGTGTTTCCAGATTCGCATATTACACACTCGTCATCTATAAATAAAATTATGTTATTTATTTTTTGACACATATTTCACGCGTTTGGTTTGTACGAGGTCAGTCAGTCGCCAGGTTGTAAAAATAGTTTTGGCTCGTTGCGCGTGGTAGCCTACTGCAAAAACGTCATCCCGCACCAATGGCCAACGGTGCTAATTTACAGACATGTTCGATTTCCGTTATGAGAAAAAATCCAGCCTGTAATGAATTGGGTGATACTAATACTTTTGGGTTGTTCCAGTTGAGTACTATGAATATTTTTTAGTTTTTTGTTTCAAGTCCCTTAAAAAATAGTCATGGTTACTAAAAATCTTAAGATTTTTAGAACATCGCACTAAACTTTAAAATCAGTTTTTTCGTTATTACAGAGTTATTGTACAATGATATGAAATATTCTGGTCTCTATTTGTCATGGTATTTATATATTTTGAGTTTCACGTGTATTTCGATAGTTTTGAATGAAATAATAAACGAACGAATGTTTTGAATGATTTAAGTACCGTCTTTTGTACCTGGAGATTTGATTAGTTATCGTCTATTTATGTTCATTTTATAATTGTGTATTGTAAGATTGTAAAATTTTCGATGGTCTGTCAAAAAATATGTCCTCTACAGATTGTCCATCTACGTGTACTCGTCAAGTTTTATCTATTAGCACTTTTTTGTCACAGTTATAAATACTGCGTGTTGTTTGCAATTATCTACGACGTTATCGTTGTGTACTTCGATGTTTGAACGTGTTTAAGAAAATATACCGGACTTGATTCAAATACCACTAAATATGATCTGGGACACGGTTTAACGTTTGCCCCTGATGATAATAGAGCACACGTCTGGTCGATAACACGGTACATATAACCGATAAGTATTTCAAAATCATATCGTGCTTGCTGCTGAATCGAATGAAATCGAAATAGACGCGATCACGGTCCACGTATAGAAATCGAACCACCAACGACTGGCAAATTTTCCCACGATCTGGGCGCTCGCTCGCTTGTGTAACTGCGTACGCGGTACATAAACACGCGCGACAAAAGGATTACGATTCTGAGACATATTTTCGAAATCGCATCACGTTCGCGTGTACGCGGTTGTGCTTACGCGCACAAGAACCGTTTGTTCCCGCCATCACCGCCGTTGTTTCTTTCTCTTTCTCCCCGTCGACGTCGAGTTTTCTCTCTCGTCACCCGTCTCGTCCGCAATATGTACGCGTCATTCACTTATGGCCCCGCACGTACCTGCAACAGTCGATCCAAGAGACAGACCGGTCCCGTTTGGTCCCCGCGACTACATAAATACGTGGTCCATACCTTTTATAGACCTAACGTCCGATGTGTGTGTACGTGTCTGTGTGTGTGCTGTTGACGACGACATCTTGGAGTTCACCGAACTCACTGCCAGTACACGGCGTACAATAGTCGTCGTCGTAATACCTATGTGGTATAGTAATAGTCGTACCTAAGACCGAGTATCAGGTTTATAATAGTATAATACCTGTGGCCACGCAGTGACGGCGGTTGTCGTCGGTGCATCGTCATCGACGGTCACGTGAAAGGACCAATGCAACGATGTAATAGAATGGTCGCCGTGACGTTAGCCCCCGAGGCTGCAGACCTATACGGTTCGTGCTGCTCCACGGACGTACGGTATAATCAATCATGTTTTTGGATATTTGATAAACAAGTGCCAGAATACCTCCCCCCCCTCGTCCGTGTGTGTGTCCCGACGGCGTTATACTACCATTTACTGATTATACGTAAAAACGGTGGTCGATTAGTATGGAACCTTTTTACACATTTTCTTAAAAAATACAATGTAAAGAAGTTTATTTGATTTTACACTTTAACTACCTTCATTTTACGTATAACATTTATTTTTATACCTATTACATGATAATTTATAACGAATTTAATGATTTGATATTTAATCGATTTTCGAACTTTGAGACAGCGAACTTTTATTTCTTTTTTTTTTTTTTCAAAATCTCTTCCAAGTGTGGTTGAATATGGTTGATATTTTTATTTTGAACATAACCTTGGATCATTCATTGGGAACCACTGAAATAAAATATAATACCATAGAGGATTACCGATGACCATTATAATAATTGTTTTAAAAATCAAGAATTATCTATCTCTGGCATACACATGCCTGCAAATCCATTTCCACCCTATACGGTTTACTCGATTTACGCATGTGCACGTGCGTCCTGACCCGATCCCAAAATTAGATTTTATTATGATTGTATTGATTATAAGTTTTTCCATACGTGGATAAGTCGAAATATAATCCTTATTACTATTACCGATAAACTTATTACCGATTACTTATTACCGATAAATATCCAAGTTTTCGTGTCGGATTTTATTTTACCCGTCGGGCGACGTAATCGTAAAATATCATTATTGTTTTGACGATCGCCAAATGCGTACATAAAACCTGAATCATAACCTTTCAGAATACAGTAATATAATACGAGTATACCTACCGCCAGAGTTTTGTTCCATGCGCAATATAAGATGATGATAATATTTTGTACAAAAGTTATTTCTAACCGAAGTTGTTGTTTGACATAAATATATCATATTTTGTTCAAGACAAGAAATCAAATATATATCGAAAAATAATATATCAAATATTTTATTATTTATTTTTATTATTACGTTTGTATTAAAATATATACACATGAATAAATGATTAAATCTAATTTCGCTTTCGTATTCTATTTACGTTTACAAGAACATAATATATCTAGTTATTTTATTTATATCATTGTAATCCGGTTGAATTTTTTATATTTTATATAAATATTATCGATCACAGTTCGCGTAGCTTATTAAATGGCAATGTTTTTTAGCGTAATGTATACACGTCTATTTGTAGTTCGTATATGGATAATAAACTTACATAAACAGACGCTTTGATAATTTTATATCAAAAACGTGATAACATGAAAACAAATATAAATATAAAATTAACTATATTTTCAATTTAACAGATTAAAAACATCAATAAAAAATATATAGGTAATATGTAATTAAAAGATAAGAAACTTAATTGAAGATTTGACCTACAAAAATTGTTCATAATTAGTATTGAATTGATTTTTAAATTCTGATTTTTAAGTGAAGCGATGAATGAATTTTAATCTAAAAATGATAATTTGTTCACATACTTTCTGATTCTTATAGTCTTAAAACAATATAGTCTGAATGCGTATTTTTTAATTTCTTTTTAATATTAGAACAATTACTATTAAAATTATTTCAATCAATTATAATTAGTTACTTTTTTTTCATGTAATCTTTAAATTATATATATTTATATTCCTTAAAAACCGTTGCTACTTTACCATCGTATTCGAAAAATTCTAGAAACTTAATACCTTTAATAACATGAAACATGTTAATAAAATTTTAAAAGTGTTAATGAGCTAACTTTCTTATCAATACCTACATAATAAATAATATTGCTGTATTTAATTGTTTTTTACACAAAGTTAAATAAAAAAAAAAAAACCAACAAAAAAAATTGATTTTTATTAAAATTCAGATAAAAAATCAATTAGAATTTTAATAAAAATCACTATTATATTCCATATATTAAAATACTTTAATAGAAGTAAATACTCGTAAAATAATTTATAAAAGATTAATGTGTCAAACGTAGTCAATTTAGTATATAAATATCAAATAGACGCCGATGTACTTTCAGTGTTAACTTCTCGGTCATTATTAATAATATTGTGAGAAAAGGGAATGTAAATATTTTCACTAAACAAATGGGTGGTCAAATAACACGATAAGTTTAACGTTGTTTGAAAAAAAGAAAAATTCTGCTGAACACTGGAATAATATAACATAAACATGTGCATGTTTCTACACACCGAACGAGATTTCCAATGAAGTCCATGTATTATGGTGGTTGAAATAATACTATTGTACTAACTACCGCGATCTCTATCAACGTAATCATAATAATTTTGCAAGATTTAAATTTGCATTTTATGAATCGATTTTGTGAGATCATTTTACGGTGCAGTATAAACACCGGCCTTGGTGTGAAAGCCTATTGTTAGTTCAAATATTAAATTATATAGTCAGTGTCGTGTGTGTAACGTGATGATAGCTGTAATTCTAGTATAGTGTTGTACGATAATCTGTCTAGTATTTCTGCAGGTTATAATATAATGTTTTTCTTATTATTATTATTTTTTTCACAGCTGAAAGTGACCTGACAGCGTTCAGTTTAAAAACTGAACATTTTAAAAGCAAGCAAGTAGAGAGCAAGAATTTACTATCAGCAGAAAACCGACCTGTCTGGGTTAAAAGGCTTTACGATCAAGCCGGTGTACCGAGTAAAGTTTACGCGAACAAACCTCATGTTCATAGATTATCGAGAAGAAAACGATCACTCGATGACAGTTGTTTGCCTTTGAACGACATAGAACTTAGGAAGGTTAGTACAAAATCACAAGTCCCTATTCGTAGTGTTTTTATCATTATTATTTCGAATGTGTTTTCGTTTTTATAATAATGTATTATTTATAATATTTTGATTAAATTGTACATTTCTGAAGAATCCGTATACAATTTACTAAAGCTAAAATATTTTGACTTATTAATTAGTAATAAAATAATAGACATATTTAATAAGTAATTAATATTCATTAATATAAAAAGGTTTTTATAATATAACAGCCTACTGCAGAATTCAGCGATATGTCAATATTTTATTTCTATTATACATATTTTGATCACAATAAAATAATTCTACCTTTATCAAACATTTGAAACATTTATTCGTACCCACATATATGCTGATGATAGCCTTTTTAATATTAACATAAATATCAACATTCAAAACACGAAGTATGACCGTTATTTATACATCCTATGCATGTTTTCGCTATAGTTATTAATATTTTGAACTTACAAATAAAACGAAGATTTTTCTTTAATTTTACCAGATCACGTACGCTTTATATAATACACGTATAAAATAATAACAATAAACTTATGTGTATTTGTAATTATAAAGGGTCTACATTTTCTAAATGATTAAGGCTTGTGCAAATTTAATTATTCTACAGATATTAAATGTGTTCTACGGTACAAATTGTTTTGTTACGCGTTAAAACGCGAAAAAAAATATATAAATTTCCATAAGAGGAAGAGATTAATTATGAAAACCGGATGTAACAGGTGTGTTGAGTATATAGGTGGTTGTAATAACCAAATTGACTTATTGACAAAAAACTTATTGTGTAAAATAACAGTTTATTTTATTCTTTGTATTCTATATTAATACAAAACATCGTTTATTCCTATTTTACATAATGAGTTGTAAAAGGCTATTTTAATTTTAATGTTATCTGATTTCAACTCCTGCGGGTATATAACTACACTGTTTGTTTAACTCGGTGAATCTTCTCTAAATAATAATAATGGATAATTATAATCAAATCATTGTCCTAGTTTCTTCCTGTGAATTACTCATATTATTCTATATACTTGTAGAAAGTATAATAAAGATGATTTATCAAAATATTAATTTATATTAATTTAATAATATATTTAAAGTTGTATATATAATATATATAATTAAAGAAAATTCCCGATAAAGTTAGAAAGTTTTCTTATTATCTAATCTGCCCTTGAATTCCCTGGATAGGTATTCGTACCTCAGTGTATCTCAGTAGAAGACAATTCTCAATTGTAACGGTCAAGGTTACATTCGTCTTGGAAGATGTACAAAACAAAACTAAATACTAATTCGACTCGGACGAAAACCACAGTCTCCATACTCTTTATAGCGTTGAATGAACTATTTATGATTAAAGTTCAAAAAATACCTAAGAACATAATTCTTTTAAATAAATAACCGACAGTTAAAAATTTTTTAGATGAAATACAAAAATTAATTATACCTAGGTTTTCCTTGTAAAAATAATTGTTAAATTTTATTTTTATTTGTAATAAGCATGCATGAAAAGTTATATAGTGACACGAAAATACAGGGTTAAAATAGCCATCCATTGATGACACTTGCATACAGTAATTAATTATAATTTGTTAGTCCAAAAATTCACGATACTAAGTTCGTTTTAAGTGCCGTCTAGGATCACCTAAAATATTAGGATTAGATAGTTCGGAGATCAGGAGATTTCAATGGTCTCTTAGAATTAAGGCGCTGAAAAAATGATTCATATTAAAAAAATGTTTACGTATTTATACCTCAGTGTAAAACGCTGTATATATAAAATTTTAATATATTCTAAGTGTTATAATACACGATCAGTTCTAACAAGCTTAACATTTTACTTGTTGCTATATTTACACATAATGCATAAAGGTTAGAACGTATCATAATTAATATAAAGCCTACATAAAAATACAGCAATGATAAAACATATAATAAGGATCTATGTTACTATTATAGTGCCATATTACGTTTACTCTTAATTTTATAAACATTGCTGGACGCTCAATACGTTTGACCGTTATATATTAACTTAATTTTGATTTTAAATTATAAATTGCAGCCTGCAGCAATTACCAATCTCCGACCATGGACATCGGAAGAAGTTCTTGGAGATATTACCGTAGCTCCTGATTGTTCGTCTAGGATACCCAGGGATCCCAGTCCAATAGCAGAAGATCAAATTGACCACACGCTACCATCTCCAGAAGAACAACAACATGTTATTGCTCTGAAGTAAGTGATAAAAATAAATAAATAATAAAATACATTTTAAATCGAAATTAACTCAAATTTTTTAAAACAATGGTTTAAAGTTTCCCACCACAAATTGTCGAAGTCGATATATCTGGTCGGAATTTCAACCGTATGAGCGCGCTCAGAAGATCTCTGCAGAACGTTGAGTATGAAACGTCTGTCAGACGACGAAAGAGCAGGAGACCGAGGGGCAAGAGACGAAACACGATTGCTGGAACCGATCAAAAAGAAATAGAAGCAGTTATTGGGTAATAAACTTAGATCATTCGAATTTTGAATATTTTTATAAAAACATTTTGTTTTATTTTCAGCTCTTTGTCAGATAGTAATAAAGATTCTGATGATATTGTGTCCAGCTGTGCGACCGTCGTGACCACCGAGAAAAAGTCTAACCTTGATTTATTAAAAGATTGGGGGAAAATGAGATTGAAACAATTAAAAAATATAGAATCATCAACGGCGGCATCCGTCAGATTAAGAGACAAAGGAAAAGTAGGGTTAGCTAGAAGAAAATGGGATAAGGATGAACCGGTACATTCTTCTTCTGGCAATTGGTCAGCAAGTTCAGAGAGTGGGCAATCTACATCGACTAGTCACATACCAAGGTAACCAACGATTTCAATAACACATTTTTTTTACCTCATGGTTCAATAAATATATCAGTTACATGAAATTCCAAAATTAATTTCATAGTATTTACTTATTTAAATAAAAAAAAAACTATGTATATTTAATGTTACAAAAATATAAACACGTGAAATCGATTTAAAACTTTTAAATATAAGTTTACAAAAATAATACAGTATAATGTTGTCAAAAATATTAAAAATGGATTTTTAAAATTCCTACAGGGTTAGTTTTCATCTTAATTTAAAATGTAGGTATTAAATAATATATATTATTTCTAAAGTAATTAATTTTAGTTGTTTTAACATTTAACATTTAAAAAGAAACTTATTCGAAAATAAAGCATGTACCTATTTATTCAAATAGAATGAAGAATAAAAAATATATGTATAAACAAACTAATATAACCAATAACCATATATATTCAAATATGAAAAAACTATATTTAAAAATATCGTTTGTCTGTCATGTTTACACATGCTGAAGATAAGACATCCTATTACATCAATATGAATCATAAATATGTAGAAAGAAAACACATATTTAAGCCGTTTACAATTAAAATTATATTCTGATTATAATGTATATGTCACTTTTATAGTTCAACAGTCATTTTATATATATATTTAAAATTTAATTAATTTCTTATGTATTAATATATGATTTGAGTGTTAATTATTAGTAATTAACATAATTATTATTTTTATTCAAGAGGGTATACGTATAGACTGCAAGAGTATAATATTAATTATTATAAATGAAATTAAAAAATTAACAAATAAAATAAAAAATTTGAATGGCTTGATTGGTTATTTACGAACTATAGTAATATCTCTATAATATTAAAGAACAACATACTCAAGGCTGCATATGAGAAGACATCTAAACTTCTGTGAATATATGACATCGTAGTATTTTTTTCCGTTGACATATTATACGTATTTACCATTTATTTTGGTATTTACTTAAACAAATAATCTCGATTAAAACGTTTTGATATTATTGTAATTACATATTATTCTACATGACCAAAAAGTGTTATCTACATACTATTTACTTACAATCACATCTAAGTATTGTACGCATAAAAGCAGATAAAATGATTTAGTCACATATTCTTGCCTGTCAGTTACTTCGACAAAACCAGTTTTAATATTATTATACGGTTTCTGTATTGGAATATAAAATGTATTTTGTTTGTAATTTGGTTACTGTAGAATGAAAACAAACAAAACGGAGTGAGTAAATCAACTAAGTTGGCACATATTGAAATGTATGTTTTATTTTTATTTTTTAGATTAATAGTTTAAATTCTTATAGTTTTAATTTATAATTATATGCGGTGTTGAATATTTTGGAAATGATGAAAAAAAAACTATAAAACTTAATATGTAACACAAAAATGTAAATATTAATCGATTTATAATATTCATATGTAGATCCTCTGTAGACACGTGATAAACTAAATTACTAAAATGACATTCAAATATTTATAATAATTATAATTATTTTCGTGTGGGAAAATATAAATTAAAATGAAATTTCCGAAATATATTCCGACATATGACCATTGGACAACGTAGCGCTGTTCCTTTAACCTTACCTTACTCTAACCTTTAAGACGACTGCAAAATACAAAAGTACGCCGGATCAAATAAATAATATATAACATCCGACTGTTGAAAAGTTCCCGTACTGAACGAGATTCGTAGTGTTACATATTTATCGTCGGCCTAGTCCAAAAATAAATATGTAATAATATTGCGTTGCTGTAATTTTTTCGACAAAAAGGAGATAAAAAATAGACAATAACGCCGTAAGAGGGTGTAAATGGTTTGAAAAAAAATAGTTTTGACGGGTTTTCCGATTTCGTTTGTCGAACTTCGTAATACAAACCCGTCAACGTGTTTACCGTTTTCGCGTTCACCATAGTTCGACTATATTTTCATATCGTTTTGTTTATGCAGAGAATGGTCGATGAAAATATGCACGTGAACAATAAATCAAATCATAACTAAAACTAAACCGCGGTTTACGCGTATTCGCAGGTCGAGCGTGAGCAGCTGCAGCGGGAGCACGAAACCTACGTACCAAGGCGGCTCGGTGACCAGTGACGAGTGCGAGACGGGATCCACGTACTCATGCGACACCGAGGGTTACTACACGTCGTTCCACGTGGACAGCGGCCTAAAAACCCTGCGCGAAGAGGAACCGTCGCCGTCGTCGCAACAGCTCCACCAGCACCAGGATCACCATCACCACCACCAACAGCAGCAACACCACCACAACCACCAGCAGCAGCCCATGTCCGCGTTACACTCCACGTCGGCGCTGACGCCATGTAGTTTCCAGTCGTCGTCGGCCGAGAGCGAGTACGACGTGTTCGGCCGCGGCAGCACGTCGACCACGGCCAGTTCGGCGGGCACCGTTTGCACGTCACTGATGGTGTCGCCGCCCAGCGTGCCCGAGCGCGGCGGCAGCAAGCTATCGTCCGACCAGTATGACGCGTACGGCGGATCGCTGCCCGACCGGATCGTGCACCATCACGCGGCGGCGGCGGGGGCCGGCCAGCCCAAGGACCCGATGTACGACGACAGGTCGAAGACGGCGCCGTCCAGGCTGACAAAGGAGAACGTGAGCACCCGGTATAAGGATGACGGGCAGCTGATGATCGACGTGAAACCGCGGACCACCGCGGACCACGGTGGCTGCGGCGGCGACTCGCCCGACAGTGGTCACAACACGTGCAGCTCACCCGTGGACTCCATCACCAACCCGTCCGTCGATCTGGAAATGTCCGAGTGTTCCGACTTGGAGGGCATCGACCGCGTCGAGAGGCTCCGAGTGAAGACTACCATCAACACCAGTCGCATACCGTCCATGTGCGTCATCACGCCGCCGATGAGCGACGACGAAGTGAGCCTGAAGGCCACGCTCAGGGCGTCCGAGGAGCACGATGACTACGGCGAGTACGTTACGCTCGCGCACGTCGTGCCTGAGCTTGCGGCCGTGGCCGTACCCGTGGCCGCGGCTGAACCCAGAGGTTTCGTGCACCTCACCGAGCTGCCGACCGCCGGTACGCTTGAAATGAGGAAACCGACTGGTGCGCGGGTCACTCTAAACGCCGAAGGCCGTGTCATTTACACTTCGGACAGCCTGAAGCGCAGGAAGAAGATACACACGACCAACACGTTCGAACCGGGGCCATGCGTGAGCGCCAACGTGGTCCGGTTGCCGGTCGCCGACAAGAATAACGTCATGAATCAGGTACGTGGTCCGATCGTGTAGCACGTTTGCACGTGTAGCCGAATCCTGTTTCGTTGAAACTCGTCTATTCGGACACAAGTTCTCGATCGACATTTATCTAGATTTTTCTGTTTTTTCGAGTCATTCGACGGTTTTTTTACGGTGCGATAAATCAAATCTCCGGCGCACCTTTATCTCAATACCACTTCGCCCGTGGGTAAGGATTTCTGTGATTCCAATGGTTCAGAAAACGTCATTTCTCCGAATAATTGTCGTGCATGTTGTACATGAATTGTATAATCCTCCCATATTATTATATTTTGTACAAACATCATTCTACGTTCATCTGAATAAAACCGTAGCTTGATAAATAATAACAATAGTTCTATGTTCGCATCGAAGTCGAATGGGTGAAATTCGGTAGTATTTGAACAATGAAAAGTGTCCAAATGGAAACGTACCAACCAAGGCCTCGACGGTGACACGATTATGATATAATGTTCTTTGGCAATATGATTTTAACTTCGCCGTACTAATTCCGTGATACGTTTTTCCAGATTATACCCCGTTCGCCGTTGAACGTACGACCGGTGACCAAACAGAAGACGTTCTCCGGTCAGCAGCAGCAGCAGCAGCAGCAGCAGCAGCACCGCGTAGTAGCCACCGCGTCGCCCAAAAAACTGGTCGCTGAAAGAAATCAGCAAGCGTTGACGTCGTGCCAGCTGAAGCCGTTGGTTCCCATACCTTTGGTATGCTCACCGGGCCAGAGGCGTTCCAAGACCGCTTTCCCGCTGACCAGCAACAACAACGTTATCAACCGCCAGCAACAGCAGCAGCAGCAGCAGCGGCAGCCGTCGACCAGGCTAGTGGTGTTGCCGGACAACAGCCGGTCGTCGCCGAACGTGGGCAAACCCATGTCACCGCTGATATCGCCCACCCGGCGAAGCCTGTCCCCCAAGGAGGTGGTAAGGGGCGCGTACGTGCGCATGCAGGACCCCACTGAGTGCCTGCTGGAGACGAGTCTAGACGACGACGACGTCAAATCGGCGGTGAAACGTAGCGATAGCTACAGACAGGCGAACGCCGCCAGTCCCCGGCTGGCCAAGTCGCCGAACATGCTGATGGCTCTGCAAAAGGCCCGCAACGAAAACACTCAAGGTAAAAATCATTTTACAGACAAAACGGATATTTGGTAAACACGCTGTATATATAGCAACACCACTATGGTGGTAGTGTAATGTTTTTAGCGCACCTGCGTGTATTATACAATATGATTTAGCATATTGTTGTATATACAACCACATGTTTTGTGCACCGTATTTTAGTGTTTGTACATTTCTTAGTATCGCGTATAGACGTTACAGGGTCGTTTTTTTTTTTTCTTAAGTACTATTGCCTCGACTTCAATTCTTAATCCTTGACCTAACAATATCCTATTGTTGTTGTTTAAATTTTCGAGAAAGCATATCATATTTATTATCGTAGTAATGCGTTTTTTCCATTTCTTAAACGATGACGTTGATTTTAAATTTCATATTCAAACGCGTTTAAAAATAAATTATTGTACCGGTAAGTTTATAAGTTTTGAATATTATTTCTAAATGAACGGAAGAACAGTACATCAATATTACATTAATTTTCTCTTGTCACCGTATAACTTCGCTTGTGTGAATTTGAAATACAAAACCAAACTGCAATAAAAAAAAAACACTTAGTTGGTTTCCGAAAATTAAAATTTGCGTGATTAATAAGAATTTAAAAAAAAAATACTTACAAACATGTTAAAAGTTCAAAGGTTTGGTGAACGTACTTAAAAAAATGACCCTGTATCTATGTCCATATTCGTAATATACAACCTCATATTATCACACATTTGTATTTAGTTTATTTCGTTTGCACACGCGTTATATAATTATTGTTAGTCAACGACTTATGATGAGCGCATATAAATTAATATATTTTATTATTGTTTTAATCAAAACAACTGTTTTATCTGTTAACATTCAATAATTTGTTCAATTTTTTTACCTTCTGCGTGGTTGGTATATACTGTATATAATAATAATATTAACCAAGGGTAACAATAATATTGTCGAGGATGTAACTATATATAATACGCATTAGGTACACGACCCGTGTCGGCCATAGAAATTATTAATCTTTAACTAATTGAAAAGAAACGAACAAAAAATGTACAATGTTCCTAATTTAACATTTAATTTATACTAATATCGCCATTGACTGTTTTGGTGTAAACTGCATGATGTACTGGGTCTTTGATTATATGTATACTGCACATACTTTTTATAAGTACATATACATATACAAACATATACATTAATGTTAATACGTAAGAAATGTTTGTTAACTGTGCCAACGCACAGTGCAGTATTTAAACAAAAAAGCTGGCCAAAAATATTACATGAGCTCTTGGAGTTGAAATAAATTTAAAAACGATACCAAATTATAATTTTATAGTTTAAATTCATTTTTTTGAATAAAACATTGATTATTTTTATGACAAATCACACGTTAGTCAAAATTCTCATCATCCATTTCGTTGTCTTCTTGATCATCTTCGATAATATCATATGTAAATGGGTTTGGGAGAAGAAGTTTCATTATTACCTTTGAAAAAGACTTACTTTTTTTCATAGATTTGGTCTTATGCTACTCAAAAATGGATCTAACTTAACAAAATTTCTTTAAAACATCATTATTACAATATTCTCGAGAATATTTTCTTAAAAAGTATTGTCTATACAATCTAAAATGTTCATTCGTTTCTTCAGCAACTTCTTTAAATAATTTACCCATAGGTACTATCGCATGTGATATAACAGTAACCTCATAGATTAAAATTGTATGTAATGTAGGTGTCATTAGGTGCCAACAATATAATTTTTATAAATTTACGCATAAGGTTTTGCTGTGTTTATGGTATACTCTTCAAACTTTTCTACGTTTATACTGTGATCATTAGATATTACTTCTAATACAATTTTAAATTTTTGAATTAGATTTATATTTGTTCCAGTGGTGCGTGAATATTTATCTGAATCGGCTAAAAATCTTAACATATATCTATTGTATCGCTGTGTTTTGTTGGGCATTTTATTTTAAAAAGTTCGTTTTCCATGTACGTTAATTTTTTGTCAATATATTTTTCTGAACATTTACGCATAAGTTCGTGTAAGAATTTCCTAGTCATTGCTTTTTATATTGCTATTACTTCTGAAAAGTATTACAATAATCGTTAAAATAAAAATAAAATATTAAAAAAAAAAAATTAATTTTTTTTTTGGTTCAATTGGCACCATGTTCATAATCGTTTTACATAAACTACTCTAATTTAAACTATAATATTTTGTCATACACTCATACTAGCACAACACAATATTCTCGACTGCAATCACTTAAATATTATTTTAATTATATTTCCAAGTATTATCGTAAACAAATAATAATTAATTAATCAATTATAAAATTACGTTAATGTATTAAAAAACAAAAATTAATGACATGTTAAATTACAATAGGAAAAAACTATACCATATTAAACAAACTAAATATCAACCCATCTAAATATAATAGTTATTTTAAGTCACTATCGTATACTAAATAAACGTATAAAATTAAAATAAAATAAACGTAAAAATAAATAAACGTATACAAAATATTATATTGTAAACGATAAACTAAACAACGAAGTGTAAAACAAGCAATATTGAACTTTAACAATACTATTTAGCGAGCCATCAAGAACAATGTTTGTAAAATATTCTTTTTATCTTGTTGTACATATTAAACTTAAATAAAACTAGTGTTGTCATAATTTAAACGTTTTTTTTTTTTAATTTTGGTCAGTTTTTTTGTATAAATACTCCACTGTGCAACGTAACGATATTACACTGAACGTGCGCAATGATTTCTGAAACCGTTTGAAAAATGAATAATAGTGAGTGCAAAACTTTCCAATGAAAGACATTTTTAAAGTGATCAAACAAATTATTGTAATAACATTATTGAAATATAGAAGTTTTCTTTTTGAAACATTACACTCCGAGTTATTTTTAAGCCATCTAATATTCATCATTTTTTGTGTATAACTATTATATCTCAGAAATCATTTCTTATTGTTATAGTTAATGCTCTTGTTTTGTTAAAAATTTCAAAGATTTAAACTCAAATATAGAACTTCCTTGATTTTCTTTTTTCTGAAAACATCAGGAAATAATTAAATGTAACGATATTGAAACTCTACAGTCATTACTTATCAGAATTTAAACAACGAGACTTATTTTTAATTACTTGTTCTTCATTTTTTTTTTTATTTGAACCTAAATTATATAATTTAATTGTACCATTTGCTCGACTGGAACGAGCAAGATAACAGTGCTATTACAAAATTTAAATACTTCACACTAAAATTTATTTGTAATATTTAAGTAAAATTTACGATGGTTTCGAAGTTAAATAATTACATACAAAGGTACGTGATCATATAAAACCTATATTATTATACATATACTTAGCAAAAATCTGGATAGATTTAAAATTTCTTATTTATACATTGTTTATAAAAATGTTAAATCAATTATGATGTTGATTATTTTACAGAGTTAAATGTATTTAAAACTTTATTTTTATTGCTATATTAATTAAGCATAATGTTATTGATTTAAAATATTTAAATGATTTTACCGATTAAAATTTCCAAATTAATATGAATTTCTTCAACCCGTCTAGGTTTTAAGCTTACCAGTTTGGTTTTTAAATTTTGCGGTAAAATAAAAGTTTAGACAATAAATGATTACAGTATCTGATATATATATATATATTACATAACATATCATTATTTGCAATTAATTTTACCTACTAATTACGATTAAACATTTAAATTTATAAAACAAGTGTTTTCCGTTGTATAGTTTTTCAACAATTACGCGTTTATAGTAAAAAGACCATTAATATCATCAGAATATATAGAAAAAGAATAGAAAATGTTTGCATACGTAGTATAATTGTTACCTAGTATAAATTTTGTTTTGTTTACGCTATGATACCTCCACAAGTGCAATAATGTTTGTGCGTAGACTGTATAAAATGAACATATAAACATATGTAAATATATTATTATTTTGGAAATGCATGGATTTTTTATACTAATTAAATGGATTTTATTTATGTTAATTTAGAAAATTTGTATTTATTTCTTTGTGTGTGTGTTTTTTTTTTTTTTTATACACTGCTGATTTTATGACTTGATTTTATACTGTATATATAATAGACCTCTCACAACTATTTGGTGGTATATTGTACGTACACATTATTTTAATCCTTCTGTATACACACACGCATACAAACACATACACACATGTTTACATATTTTATTATTTTGACACTTATTTTAGCTTAAGTACTCATCACAAATCGCTTGGGTTTACGTGCAAACTATTTGTAATTTTACATTTGATGTTTGTTGCCGAAAGTTTTGATTTTCACACTGGTAGCTTATGAGGTATATATGAAGATTATTAACAAACTAGACTAACGAAATAAGGTAAGGCAGTTAAATATTATATTATACACATTAATTATTTGTTGATAAGGCTAGGACGTTGATGGCTTAGAAAAACCTTCACCGCTGCTGCCGGAACCTACCAAAAATGTACTCGTTTAACATTCCATTGTTATCATTATTTGATAAACCTCACCATAGAATTTCTTTGATTAAGTAAACAATACGATGTGGATGATAACACTTAAAATAATACGTTCAAAAATATATCAGCGATTTTCAATGTTTTTTTTTGGCACATTTCGGTTCTATAGACATATACAAGTGTGTATGAATATGTCTCCGATGTGAAACTCTCATATACTTTCTAATTTATTACCGACAACTGTTGTGTCCTATGCGCGTATAAACCGGGGCCGGTGCAGATGCATTCACGTCAAACACCCGTAGACAAACCGAGTTGCAGAGCCCGCACTGAAAATCAAACGAGTCGAATCGCCCGCACCGATCGTAGGCGATGATATATTATGACGTAAAATATAGCTGTTCGGGAAAACTATAAACTAGTATATTATAATAAACCATGAAAATAAGTATCTTTTAACGAACGACAATAATGACCGTACATTGTTTTTTCGAAATGTATAAATATTCGGTGTGGTGTCGCGAACACATTTTTTTAACACAAAATATTTTTACGTGTACATTAAAATTTTATAACTATGACTCCCTAAACTCCCCCAACAATTGACGGGTTTTTTAAACTTTTTTCGGGTACTTGAAATCGATTATTTATGAACACAAAATATTACTCTAGAATTAAACATCTCAACAACTCGATTATGTGAATATAAAGGACCCGACCCGTTAAGATATCACCTGCGAGTCTAGAGGCGATCCACTTCTATAGAAATTATAAACATTATTTCGGTCATAATAGATGTGTCAATTTGTTTTCAAAGATATATTTATAGATATATTATGATTTTGATACTAAAAATACACCACATGTTACGCTATATATATATATATATTTTTTTTTTAAATATTCAAAACATATTTTCACTCACGCAACTAATATAGAAATATAATCAAACACTATTCTGTTGGTTGATTATTACGGGAATTTGGTTACCCTCGGATGGAGATGAGATGGTAGTTAGCTCCCTACTTGAACTATGACTAATCCTATTAATACATCAGTAAAAACATATACAATGTCCCCAGAGAGTGTTTACCACAGCTACAGCCTCTCGTCGTCGTCTCCCAATCATCATATTTTTACATTTCACGAGTAATACTTTTACAGCGTAACGTTTGATTAGGAAATCAGCCATCAACGTCCCTGAGACACGACTACGCACACTACAACAGTACAACGCAGGTGCCTATTCGTTAGCGCGTGCGTATTTTTAAGGCTGGCGGTGTTTTCACCCGTATTCGATGTTTCTAGAAATGTATCTCCGTGATACCAATAATATCCGTGTACTGCCTACTAAACTAACTATTGGTCAACCGTCCTCAAAATGACAATACCCTTTTACACGACGGGCACTTTATCCGAACGTCTTCCGTCGTCGTAGACGTCCTACGCGAGCAATAATTTTGTTTGTAACTGAAACTAAATCATCCATTGTGGTATGATTTTTCGATCGCCCATTAATATCGATTGCAGTCCGACCGACCAAGCGTGTCCGTCAACGCGACCGCGAGGGACACAAGCGATTATGACGACGATTTCCGCGTGCGTACACCGGCGTTAGCTCTTTACGGCTCCGGGGTATTTGACAAGAGACGATGAGGGCTCCGCCAGCCGTCGCAATACGATCTACAGTCGTTTTTACGTGTCCTGTAATCGTTTCGTATATGTGTATGTATAACGTTCGGTTTTTCGTGTGCTTTTCTTACAGGGACGGGCCGCAGCCACGGTACGCCACACTCGCCCGCGACGCGCACGCCGGACACGAGCGGCGGCCGCCGGGACCACGACGTGTCGGCGTCCACGCCGGTGAAGGACAACGACCGGAGCGCAGGTCGGATCGACATGAGCAGCAGCAACATATCGCCGATACGCGGCGACTGGCTCGCAAGTCCTCCGCGGGCCGTCTCGTACGGGCGCGTAACCACGGTGGACCGCGGCCACGTGCCGTCCGCGCGGCCGGCGTTCGGCCGCTCGGCCATGGACCTGTACGCGGCCATCCACGAGTCGAAGAAACGGTTGCTCGGCCAACAGCCGGCCGTTTGCGGCGCACAGGCGCGAACGCAAACGCCGCCGGTGATCGTCGCGCCACAGCGGTCGCCCGTTCCGTCGTCGGTCGCGACGAACGCCGCGGTACAACGAACCGCGCCCGAACGCCAATCGGACCGAACGTACAAGCCGCGCGACGTCCGGTCGGCCCGGTACGACTTCAAACGCCTCCTGTTGCAGACCAACATGGCCGGCGGCCGGCGAGCGCAACAGTCGGCCGTGGCCCGGCTCCAACAACCGGCGCAGCCTCCAGTCAGGACCGTGCCGGTGATGGCCGCGGGTAAGAGGACGTCGTCGTGGAAGTCGAACGTGCTCTCCTCGACAATACAGGAAGATTGTCGTGAAGACGAGGACTGCTATCGATGCGCCGCCGACGTGGGCGTTCCCAGGTCCGCCTCGCTCGTCAACCGCACGCTCAAAGGTCTCAACGTCGGCACCGCGGCCGCCACCGGTTCCGCACTGGAAACCGCCCTTTGACCGGCAGCCGCAATCCTGCCCGTGGCCACCGAGTGCGCGGCCCTTGTATGACACGTGATCGAGAATGTTCTCGTCTGACTTAACGCGCTCGGAGAATCCTTTTTCCCTTTATCCCGTAGTCTTGCCTTGTACCCCGAAATGATGACAACAATATTGCATTACGCGGACACTATTAATATTTATTTATTTTTCGAATCGTTTAATGTCGCTCGCACCAGCTCCGTACCGTCGATGTTATCGTATTATCATTGTAATATTGTACTCATCTAGTCTTTTACGTGTACTTGTATAAATAAGTACAATTCTACGAGGCCGGCGAGTAACACTAGAAAACATTGATTTTATATTTTTATTTTTAATTTATATACACATATATGGTATATATATATATATATATATATATATATATTGTTGGTAATATTATTATTAATTTTTTTCTATGTTTATATACATAAAAATATTTTCGTATTTTTAAACGTCACAATGTGGTACATTTCAGTGTAATTACTACTGTTTGACAGTTGTCACGAGTTGTCCTAAAATAACACGGGAATCTAATATCACGTGCCATTTTTGTTATTATTATTATTATTTTTATTATTACTACTATTAATGTACATCTCTCGACCATCATAATTTTTAACAACTTGTACATAGTACCACATTATAATATTATATTCGTATTTTTTTTTTTTTATTAAACTGAATTCGTAGAACGAATTGCATATAAATATATCCCTACATATTTTACACAGTAATTAAATTGTGTCAAGAAAATTGTCTGTGCGCAAGTTAACGTATTTTATTACTCGTTTGTGAGATTTTTTTTTTTGTGTAATACAAATATATTACTTAAAAATATTCAAAATGCATACGTCGTGTTGGATTTCAATTGATTTAAAAATAAGGTCCGAACGACAACCACGTATCGATTGCACTCGATCACAGGCCTTCAAAAGAAACATACATTTTACTATTGTTATTATTTGTTGACGGATTTATGATGATATTTTAATAATAATATGTATATATTACAGTGAATAACATTGTTTTAATTATTTTTCCGAAGCAAGAAAACCAAATATTTCCTAAAGATGCTAGGCATATCGATTCAAATTGTATTATTTAAAATCAAAGCAATGGAAAAGATTTCTCATGAACAATAAAAATAAAATACAACACGAAAAACCGAAACTGAAATAGATATTTAAAATCCTATTGGGTTAGCAAATATATAATATATATAGTACTCAATTATAATAGTTAACTATTGCGTTACGTGAAATTTTGCATTTCATTGCATTGTACGATCTTTTTTCAATTAAAATCGATTTATAATGTATAATTTATAATTTTATGATTATAGTTTAATTAGAGGTACCATTTGTACCTAATATTTTTGCCAACTTCGTTATTTGTTCACCCGGGTGTACGAAATGTAAAACAAAATGATTTTAAACCCAAATCATGTTCGGATCAACAGGCAATCGGAGTCTGAGCACCCCTGTGTTGGAGTTTGAACACCATGTATTGTACAATGTATTTTAGATTATAGTTCACCATACGAGTTCATATTAAAAATTAAAATAATTCTCATCGCTACACAACTTAGATTTATTTGACACTTTGTAATCGCCCTGTACAACTACGATAAATGTGTTATTTTAGATTCTGAGCGGAGAATGTGCATTGATTTTACTGTGATGTGTGTATTTTAATTTTCTGTCTGTTTAGGGTCCGCACGATTTGTTTCGTAAATCGTCAATAAAATATTTTAATTCGACAATAAATAATAAAAAATTAAATTAAGCTTCTCATATAATATTCTTACCTGCGTGAAAAATTACGAATATCTGTAAACACGATTTTTTTTTTATAAAATACGTTTGTATTTTGGTTATTATAAACTTTAATTCAAAATAAAACGTAATTTTTTTATCTTTACCAAATACATGTTTGGTATACGTTTATGAATAATAATATGATAAGTGTTTATGATATTTCTGTATTTCTTCTCCGTTCATGGGTACGCTTAAGTTGATCGCGGTCTGAACATGATAATTCGTTGAACTATCAATGTAATATAATATATAATATCAATATATAATATTGATAAACTTACCAAGATTCGAAAAGAATAAAAAAGTACCTACAAATACTATCAATACCTAACCTCGAATCTGCCGGTCGTCACAAAACATGTTGAACTAATAAAAGTTATTAATAGCAAATTAATTTAAATTTACTTTTTCTGTCTAAGATGATTCTTCTTCCTGTTCTCGAACAGCTGTTTACCATTTGTATAGGAAAAACTAAACCAATTTGGTGATTTTCCAGCGAAAAAAGGTCGTTCGTTTACTTGTATTTTAGATGAAAATCGAACTCGTTAGCATAAATGTTTATACCCGGATATTCACATGATAAATTGTAAAAAGCAATTTACCACTTAATTGTGTACGTAGTCGAAATAACATACCAATTAGTTTAAACATATTTTTTTAAAACCGTATAGGTTCACTTTCACCCATGAGCACTAAGTGCATATTTAAATTTCAATAAAAACTAATAAGTGTCTTTTACCTGCATTAACTTTTATCAAATTTTCAACAGTGGTAATACAATATTTTTTTACGTATATTTTGATTAAAATGATATTACACAAAAGAAACACTATAATAGTGTATTATTTTTGTTTATGTATGATGAACTCATATAAGAGCCTAAGAGCAGAGGCGTGTTTAACGAGGGACAAAGAGGGCATTTGCCCCTGGTGGCAGCGTTTGAAAATATTTCTTAAGCGGCATTCGTATATTAATTTTTCAATTTTTTTTGGTTTTTGTAATAAATCAATTTTTCCATCAGTTATATTACAAAATTAAATGTTAAAATATTTAAGTATTATATGAAAAATATTTTTAATTATAATAAATCATATTTACTTATACCTATACAGCTATAAATATATCTTATTCAAATAATTACAATATTAACACACATTAATGTGTAAACACATTCGAGACTCGATGGACGAAGATATTGTTGTACGCCTGAACAGATGTAAAGTTGTAGTAAATACTAAATATAAATAATAGTATATATCAACCCTATTAACTATAAATAGTATATAATTCTCCTTAATATCATACATTTATATCTATGATGAGGTGACAAAATATGTGTACCCCTTGCAATATTACAACTTAGCACGGCACTGCGAGAGGAAAAAGACCCTTAGGGAGGCCTAGGTTAAAGTGGGAAGATTTAAAAAGAATAGGAACAGCAATCGATTGGAAAGAAGTCTGCTTCTTTCTTTCCTCGTCCTCTGGGACGAGACTTTATATTTAATGGTATCATACCAATTATGGTAAGAGTCAGAACCAAGAAAGAAGAATTCATAAAAGTCATATAGATACCTATAATCTATACACCTATATCATACCTATGCATGGTTATATAATATAAGAATACTTACATCATTCAACAAACTAATAATCAGAATAGTATAATTGGTCCTTCTTTCATATTCTATAAATTTAAATTTAATTATGAACATGATACAGACAAAATCATTTTTTACGATTTATACAAAAAATAACTTATAAATCACAAATTAATGTGAAGTTACTAACATTTTGAAGAATACAGTAATTTTTAAGGCTTGATATTGATTTTTTAAAATTCATCAAAGTATACCATCAAAATATATACATAGTATATATAGTAGAATATGTAAAGAAAACAAAAATTAGAAGATATAGAAATGCGTAACTTTTATTTTTACATTTAATTATATAAACAATCTTACTTTCAAAACTAGTTATTTATAATTATTTTTTTAAATTAAATCAATAAATATTCATTGGATTGTACTTCTATAAATATTATTGTACAAAGAATATAAGTTTAATAACTGTAATAGTGATTAGCAAAAAAAATCTGTTGTTTCAGTCAGAATTATATAAAACACAAGTCAAATAAACAAATTTTAAATCTTAAAAACTAGAATTTCTGAGTAAATACAATTTTTTTTTAGATTATGTCTTTAATTTTTTTATCATACTTAATTGTATTACAAAAAATATAATAATATCCTAAAGAAAAATAACAAAATGTTACAATTCATTTTAGAAATATTAATTTGTGTTGGAATATAGGTATATTTGTGACAAAATAATTTACATTGAAAGTACACAAATTTTAAACATTTGAATAATCATTGTAATAGAACTTATTTTATATTTAATGACTGCCTTTATCCAAGTCTGGAAATTCAATTGGCCTGAAAATAAAATAATTTTTAAATTGCATACTTACTTCTAAATGCTCATTAAATAATTATAAATATTTAAAATAATAGAAAATTGAAAATTAATCAACGATTAAAAATAGACTTAGGAAAAACTATATCATAATAAAATATGTTGAATTAATAAATGTTAACTTAAAATACAATGAAGAATTATTAAAAAAATTAATAATCTTAAAATCAATTATTTATAAATGTGTATAATTGAAAAATAGTATGTTTATTTCATTTCCTACACTAAGTAGAAAATTATCATTAAGTTCTAGTTGCATTTTACAGAAAGCCAACCTTCAATTTTCTAAACAATTTAATTCTGCTACTTAAATAATTAATAATATTAATAATGTCCAATTAAAAATCTGAAAAGTATAAATAATAAACCGAAATAAACCATAAGTTGACAGCAGTTATCTGATATTATTTACTAATTAATAATCAGTAAACTTTACATAAGAAAATAAGACATTTGCATTACAGGTGATCTACGGCCTCTTTTTAGGTGTATCAGGTAATCTACCATATTATACAAGGTGTACTTGGTGATCTACAATTATTATTACCTATTATTATATTATATTATACTATAATTATATACACATTATCGCAGACCGCAATGGAACAGTATTGCGATAACGATTAATGACATATACTATATAATTACGAGTCATTAGCATCGTTGCTGGATAGGTTAGTTTCAAATTGTTTATTGGTCTGAGTCTTTCTATAATGCGTGGGTCTGAATTTTATAAAATAATTGTTGATGAAAAATGGCACTACATTGGAACTTTTACATCATCGTCTCATTGAAGCATGGTGGAGATCAGTTAATCCTCAAAATACTTTTTTAAAATTTTTAAATGATACTAAATGTTTACTGTAATTGAAATTATAATTATATTTGACTAATTATTTTTTATTTTTATAGTTGACAAATATTTGTATGATATGACATATGAGTAGTAAAAAATATAATGTGTTTTTATACTGTTAAAATGTAGATCACTTGTCCTGAATTTGCAGATCACCCATTCCTTAGGTAGATCACCTGCTACACGAATGCCGAAATAAATCTCTAGGGAATCCTAAAGTGAAACTTGATTTATATTTATCTACAAAGTAGTATTAAAAATGATAAAAGTAAGTACATACTTATTTTATTGTTGGGTTTGAGGATTAGGAGGAGGATTGACCATCATAGGTGGTCTCATATTAGGTGGCATTGGAGGCATCATTGGTGGCGCTCCCATTGGCATTTGTCCCATAGGAGGTCTCATCATGGGCGGCATAGACATCATTGATGGAGCACCCATAGGCATTTGTCCAGGAGGCATTATTGAACCGGGTGGCATGGACATTTGGGGCGCTGCTTGGCCCATGTTTGGCGGTGGAATACAAACACCCTTCATTCCTATTTTTCCGGCTTTATAAGCAGCAGTTGTAGCATCAATCAAATTCTGTGCTTGTTCTTCCATCCATTTTTGATAGTAAAACTTAACATTGTCTTTATGTTTACGGCCTTGGCAATGGGTTTTACGCACTGATGGCGAGTCATGCGTCAAATATGTATCACAATAATCACAATAGTATTTCGGCATATCTGTAATAAATAATCAGTAGAAGTAAAACAAAAGTCATTATAATAGGTAGTATATTAATAGATTTTCCATGAGTTGATCGTGCGTGGTGCACGTCGTCCTAGAATCGACATCGGAAAATCGAAATTCCTCACTTTGCCACTAGAACTGCCCGGATTCTCTAGGATTCTCAACGAAAACAACGAAACACCAACCTTTAGTAATCAGCGAACACGAGTGTCAGGTTTCAGCGATTGTTATTCGGTCCGGTTGGGCACGACAAGAGTTTGGTGAACAACAATTTCACTCAAGGCATACTGGTCGGTCGTGTTCAATCGTTGTTTATCCCTAGCGAGTCGTCGAATATTCCGAGATAATGTAATCACGGTGCCGCGATGGTCGATGGTTAGGGGAGAAGAGAAAAACAGAAGACCAACTGTGCCCGACCAAACTTCTCTGGTCGTGCAATGGTAATTTATTTTTGTTCGTCCGGCACCGATTCAATGCGTGATAACATCCGCGCCGTGTTTGATAACGATGCGGCATTTGTAATTCTCCTTTTTAACAATACTTTTTGAAGTCACATTCCGTCGATTAATAATATTTATTGAATATCATTCGACCGTTGTCCGTCTTGGATTCTCGATCGAATCCTCTGTTCCACGTCCGTCGCTGTGTGACTCGTAACAGTTCGCTCCGCAGTCCAGTCACTCCCGAAGCATCTTGGTTTTCGTGTGACTCGACGTCATGTTTGTTCGCAAACTCAGTCCGATGGGATTCACTGCTGTTCTCAAGGTACACCCGACTACTCGCAGTTTCGTTATGCGCGTACTGGTTATGTACGTCCTGTTTGGACTAGGTTCTGTCAATAGTCTACCATATCTCCCTCGAACCATTGCCATTCCTGTTATGCCAGTTATGAATTGGAACCATAGTAAATTAGAAACTAACTAATTTTAATTATTAGAAATCGCGTGGACTCGAGTTGAGTGTGTAACCCTTTAACCATATTAACTAAGATATAAACTTAGTTTATATGGTCGCAGGTGTAACCGTTCCATACCAATGATCTGTGTCACACGAATCGCCAATACAGAACATACATAGAGATATTTTTAATATTTTTTTTTCTCAAAGAAAAAAATTGACACAATAGTATTTAAAATTCTTTATTCAACATAAATAACTATTTAATTATATAATGAATATTAGTTCATAATGTTTAGAACACAATAAGACAATAATTGATCAAACATTTTTTTTTTCAGCGGCAAAAACTATTGTCAAGACCTATTAATACATCAATTGCATTAGCAAGGTTTAAAAGTAATAGGCCATTTAACACTGGAATCCTATTTGTTCCACAGCAAGAGGCAAGACACTTAACTTTTTATAAAATGTTTTGATTTTAAAAATAGCAAATAGTTTAAATGTTTATAGACATTTCTCAATCCAGATAAGTTTTTAGTGATCTCTTCAATACTGGGTCTCCTTGTTATCATGGAATGTATTATATTTAATAATTTTTTCGACGATTATTGAATTATAAAAATGAACTGATGAATCCCAATTAGCTGAGTAAATGTAAATCCAGATTTAATAAAGTCACATTTAACATGAATATAAGGTATAACTATTACATTATGTTAAACAAATTTATAAATAGGTATTGGGTATTCCATTATTCGTAAATAACTAATATTAATTTATTGATTCATATAATGTATTTTTATCATAATATGTTCAAAATGAAAATACACGGCTAATGCATATTTTTTTCCGTTCTATGATCTACAACTACTAGCAGTAGCTTTAATGGTAATGAAAATTGTACGGCTCTGTATCTATTGTTTTGATAGAAACCCTATATGTTCTTTGTACAAAATATGGATGTTTCAGAAGTATTACTTTTGTATACAAACACTATAGTATGTCTTTAGTATAAATGGTTATTAACATAATTCAGAATATTCAATTTCATGATAATACTTAGCTCAGGTACGTAATTTATGGGGCATAAGAGCTATTGCTTTCCTCCTCAATTTCTGTATTGTAGTAACCACTAATTAAAATGTATGGCATTTACTACTTTAGTGCACATTATTTAAGCCCCAATCATTTTGTGGTTTATTCTTTCATTACCCCAAAGAATAATCATTTATTTACTACATTTTTTAAATTTTCTACATTAATTTTGATCATAATTCTCATGTAATATATTTAAAATATGGAATTATATTATAGGCATGGATTGTTGAACGGATGGGTAAATTTAAACGAATTTTAGAACCCGGTTTAAACTTTTTGATACCTTTCTTAGATCGTATTGGTTATGTACAAAGTTTAAAGGAATTAGCTGTTGATATTCCTAAACAAAGTGCTGTAACATTAGGTAAGTTTATAGCTTAATTCAAATAAAAATCTTTTTTAAAAATAAAAATAATAATTTTAGATAATGTAACTCTAAATATTGATGGTGTTCTATATTTGAGAGTCAATGATCCTTACTTAGCTAGCTATGGAGTTGAAGATCCAGAGTTTGCAATAACTCAACTGGCTCAGACTACTATGAGGTAAAAATGTCTATATATAATTGAATTAGCAAGTTTTATTGAAATTAAAGTTAAGACAAAAAAAAATGTATATTCTAGAAATATTTTTTAAATACTAAATGAATTGATGATTGAAAAAAAAATCAATTAAGAAGGAATACTTATTAAAAAATATATACTTAAAACAAATTTACAAATTTAACCCTGAACATATAGAAACACATAAATAGTATACTTTTTTACTTATATCTCAATTTCATAAAACATGTGACTCCTGAAGTTTCCTATAATACTCTTTTAGATAATAAAACAACCATAAACATTTTATTTTTAAGTGATATCAAAAATATTTATTATTTCATTATTTCTTGGAGTTTGTCTTCTACTTCGTCATTCAATTATTTTCATATATTTTAATGGGTTTTATGTATTATTTTGATTTTTTCTCTTCCATGTTAATACTTTTCAAGGGGTATAAGTATGAAGTTATTTAATTAATTAATTTTAAGTATTGCTAAACATTTCTAAATTTAATTGTATTGAGGTTCTTTAATATTAAATTTAAATAGTTCAAATATGTGAATTAAAATTATAAGTATATCGATTTTCAATGAAATGAATATTATTACAATTGATAGACATTATTGTAAATACTTTTTCATTAAATATAATATTTAAATGTTATAGATCAGAATTAGGAAAAATATCTTTAGACAAAGTTTTTAGAGAACGAGAAAATTTAAACTATGCAATTGTTGAAAGCCTTAATAAAGCAAGTGCATCATGGGGACTAGTATGCTTCCGATATGAAATTCGTAAGGATTATCATATTTTTTTTAACAATGATATTGATATTTTAATGATATTCTATTTAGGTGATATAAAACTTCCTAATAGAGTACAAGAAGCGATGCAAATGCAAGTAGAAGCAGAACGAAAAAAACGTGCTGCTATTCTAGATTCAGAAGGTATCCGTGAAGCTGAAATAAATGTAGCTGAGGGTAAAAGACAATCTACAATTTTAGCTTCTGGTGAGTTACTAAAATTTATTGATTTATGGTCAATAATTTAAAATTTTTACTTCAGAGGCTGATCAACAGGAGCAAATTAATAAAGCTCAAGGAGAAGCCAATGCTTTACTAGCTGTTGCTGAAGCTAAAGCCAAAGGTATACGATTAATAGCAGATGCTCTTAAGCAAACAGTTAAGTATATTAAATTTGAAATTTCAATTGATATTTAAATTACATTTAAATCATAATATAATATAAAATATTACATGTATTACCTTTAAATATAAAAATAAATTAAACAATTTAATTTTAGGATGGATACAATGCTGCATCTCTTAAAATAGCCGAATCGTATGTTGAAGCTTTTGGAAAACTAGCTAAATCTACAAATACTGTTATTATTCCTAGTAATACTTCAGATGTATCTTCAATGGTAACGCAGGTAAATAAGAATCTGTAATTATAATTCTTAGTTATCATGGTTACTTTAAAAAAAAAATTATTTTGCTTCCTTAAAATAGGCAATGTCCATTTACAAGTCATTAACTAATAAATCAAAACAGTCAAGAAGAACAAGTGAAGAAGAGAAATAATCTATAGTCAGTAAACTGAAATATATTTTATTTTATACATGGAAATGGATGGAACGTTAGTTACTAAAAACGTTTATTGAATACCTCATGTAATATTCTATACATTATATTTAAAAAAAAAATGAATGTATAAACATTTTCAAATTGTGTTTCATTAATATTAATTTGTTTATAATATCCCCTTCAACTAATAAATACTTATTATTTTCTCTTGTTAAAAAAACTATGTTAAAATAATATTCATTAGGCATATTGAATACTGTAGCCTTTGAATAAGGGATATTGTAATATAATATATATATATGTTGAAAAAAAAAAATTAAACTGTAATCATTTGTATTGATAATACTATTATTATCCTTCAATCAAAATATTGTTGAGTATAAAATAAAAGAGGCCTTGCAGGAAAGTGATTGGCCATACCTATAGAGGTCTTCTAGAAATATTATATTTAGAAATATTATTATTTATTTATGTTATGATTTATACTGCATTTCCATTAAGATTCATTAGAGTCATTCTTGGTTCACCATTATGAAACAATACTGCACAATTATAAGCAATAAATTAATAAATAAATAGTATTGACCAAATTATTCCATTAAATAGGTTTCTTCTTTTCAACAAACTGCTCATCAAAGAAGTCTTTTTCATGTATGTACCAGATTGCTACATAAACAATTATAATAAAGTAAGGGTCAAGGTATAGATGTTAATTGACTGATTTAGTTGTAAATTACTATTAAAAATGTGAAATAAATGTACCATCAGTTTCAAAAAACTATTCTGAACGAAAGATGTAGAATGGATCAGCCTATATATCTAAACAAAAATTTGTATTACTATATAAATAATAATAGTTTACCAATGCTATATATTTAATATATAAACAACAGGGGATGCTATTTTTAGATTTTCTTTTTTAATGAGATTTAGGTATCAATCTTGTAGCTTTATTATTACACAATATAATGAGTAGCCAATAAAATCCCAATCAACTACATTAATTACCTAGTTTGAAAGAAGCCTATTTTTAAACAATTTTTCATTTAAATGTTTGTATTAATTACTATTTTATCATTTGATTTTTTTTTTTTAACTACCCTGACATTTATTAATTATCTATACCTATTTTACATGTGATTAATATATATTTTGGACAATTATCGATATTATTAACATGAATAAGTATCCTTGTTATAATTTTGTATAGTTTAAATATTGTTGATTTCCATCTTTTTTTTAAATAATAATACTTAGTACAGGGCTGGACTTGGTCAGAAATTTCTACCGGGGGGAAAAAAAAACGGTCCACTTAGATACATCAAAAGTATAACAAAAACGTATATTTTCATATACAATTATTGTATATAATTTTGAAAATTTGAACACTGAATATTTTTATTAATGATTAAAAGACCGTTTGTATAATTTTAGACAGTTACTAATGCAATCGCATTAGAAAATGCGTCTATGTCCGATGACACAATGAGCCTAAACCGATAAACCTAAGAAAACGGAACTTGCCCACTGGTAAACTCCCGGTATCTCACCTTCCCAGTCCGACCCTGAATGTACAATTATGAAATTTACCATCCCTGACGGGTATTGCATTAATATTAAACAACAATATCCCACAACAGGTGCCAAAACAATCAAGAATATTAGTTCAAAGGATTATTATGCATATCGGTTAATGATTAGATGCGATCAGGACTATGTTATTCTACGATGTCATGAGCTTTGTCATAAATTCATGGTTCACATGTATGTAAAGTTAGAGAGTGAACGATTACGATACTTGTGATTCAATTAAAAAAAGCTGCATGCGGAAAAGTCTCAAAACAATTGTTAAATATCGGTGATGGACTACAGATGAAACGGGACGCATACAATTGCCGACCGATTTCTGCACAATCATTGATTTGTAAGATGCTCTCATTGACCAGATATTTCCCAGTGTACACAGACAATACACAAATCATGAGTGGCTGGCAGAAAGAGCAATTTTAGCAACAAAAAATGTGGACGTCTACGAATTGAATCTTGAGAACATTTGTTACCAGGAGACTTGGTGTTATACAAATCTATTAATATAGTTTGCGATGCTACTGAAGCTGTAAATTATCCGACAGATTTTTTAAACTCATTGGATTTATCACCCATGCCACCGCATAATTTACAACTGAAGGTTGGATCTCTGGTTATTTTGCTTCGAAATTTGAACTCACCACGTTTGTCCAACAGCACGCGGTTAGTCATTAAAAAATGAATGAAAAATGTTATCGAAGCCATCATTTTAAAAGGCTAATTCCGAGGTGAAAATATATTATTACCGCGAATCCCTATTATACCCACAGATGTGCCAATAAAATTGAAACCCCTTCGATTTACAATTAGATTAGCATTTGCAATGACTATCAATAAGTCTCAAGGCCAAACGATGTCTGTCTGTGGCTTAGATTTAAGCACATTATATTTCTCACACGGACAATTATACGTGACGAGCTCTCGGAACATCCAGTTTGTTTGTGTTGGCAAAAGATGGGATAACAACAAATACTGTACACTCTGTTGCATTATGGGATTTGTATTGTTTCTTACTAATATTGCCATAATTAGCGACATATATAATTTTAAAGGATCAATTTTAAAAAATTATTAAAAAAATAAATTTTTGATGTTTTTTCATTTTTATATTTCATCATCGTTCACAGCACTCCATAACTCTTTCACTTATATACCACATCCTAACACACCTATATTAAATTAGTTATTATTTTCTAGAAATAATTTATAAGACAAAACAACGTTTGTCGGGTCAGCTAGTTTATTTATATATTAATTTACGACTGTTGACCTTTTAATAATTCTTATTGTATTATTAATTATATTAATTAATTATTATCTGAATAATTTCTGATTTTTAAAATGAATAATAAGAATTTTTTTCCGTCATAAACAGATAGCATTCATTATTATTAATCAGCTGTTTTCGCAATATCATAAACGAATATGTTTCATACGCAGCTGTAGATAATAGATTGATTTCTAGTATCTACAGCAGTTGTTAAAGGATAACAATTTGTTATAACTGAAACATAGTTTATAATAACGCTTGTATTATCTACATAGTTATAATTAATCCAAAGATTTTTAAAACTGATGTGTCTGGTATAGAATAATATTTTTAATGAAATTCTAGTCAGCTTGATTCCATTTATTGTTAATCAAGAATTGAGTTAGAAAAATAAGTTATTATCAGAATTATTTACCTAAGTTTATTATTAAAATATTGTTTGTGCTATTCGATATATATTTAAAAATGATTAAAGAACTAAGCGCAATTAGAGAATGCATTGTAAACACAAATGTCTCATTAAAGTCTATAATACAGGTAAATATTTAACCTAAGATATTTTTCAACTAGAATTAACTTATTTAATTTTTTTTTTTTTTTAGGATATATATTCTTGTGAAGGACCACTAGAATCATTGACACATTTAAATGCAAATGGTAGAAAGCAAATTAATATATTCAGAAATTTAATTGAAAACTTAGAATTATATGCTCGTGAAGCTGAAAACCAACAAGAAAAATCAGAAGTTTTAGAAGAAGTCCGTAATCAGAGAGAATATTTGACTAGGTAATTAATAATTCAAATTCAATATTAAATATAATTTTTCAAGTATAAAAAAAAAATATAGATTATTATAGTTACTTATATATTTTGAATAAAGTTTTCTATAGAAATGTATTACAAATTCCCAATTAAATTGAATGTAAGTTAATATTTAATATTAAATTAATAATAAATTATGAAAATGTAAATAATCTAATTTATTCTATAGTTCTAGATTAAAAAATAACATTACTAAAAACTTATTAAAAGCATTGATCTTAAATAATGAAAGATTAACTTTATTTTTGAATATTATTACTATAGTTATAAACTCGGACCTGGAGAGCTAAGGGGGAAAAAAATAGTTGATTTATCTACATAAATTAATATAAAGTTTTAGTAGATGGCCTCTTACATATAGTTTATGTTAGATCTTAAAAATTAAAATAAACAAAATGAAAGCGGAATAAAAGTTGTAAAAATTGAGGAAATTCGATTTACAAATAAGAAAAGTATACTGGTAAAATGATACTACTGTAGTGAATATGGTCGAACATTAAAAGAAACATAATAAAATCATAATAATTATCTTAATAAAAGAACAGTAACTAATTTATTATTCAAAGATAAGAAATATAGGTTATACTTTATTAATTTTTTCAAAAAGTCAAGTAGATTAAACATTTTAATTGGTTATTGTATTTTTGTAGTAATATTGCTTCATTCAGAAAAGCTAATGTGGAATGTATGGCAAGGATTCATAAAAAATCTAGTGAACAATTATTAGGTACTAGCAAAGAAGAACAAGTACGACACAAGTAAGTATTATAAAATAATTTTTTGAAATTATTTTTATTTGCAATTTATGTACAACATTTGTGCTGATAAATATTTTAAATAAGGAATATTTTTAAATTTAATTTTAAAAATCTTAAACTAATATTACACTAGATTTTGTAAATTTTTTTTCTTTAAAGCAGTTAAATTAAAAATTATATCTTAAAAATGTACTACAAAATTTATATTTTCATCCATTAACTAGCTTGGAAAAATAACTTGAATTTATTTTTCTATTAAATTTCAAAATAGCTTTTTATGAAATAAATTATTATGAAAATTATTAATTATTGCAATTAACAGTATTTGTTCATCATTGCGATAGTAAGGCCCTACTAGAACCACTCAAATATATAAAGTAAATACAAACCTTTTAATATGATCAGATAGAGATAAAAATTATCTAGAATATTGCATTAAATATATAATTAGGATGTAGTGGCATGAGTTAATCTTAATAATAACTATTTATTATTATTATATTATATTATAATATATTTATTTATTATTAATATTATTAATAATTAATAATAATAATTTTTAATTATTCTGAGTTAAAAATTAATATTTGTGTGTAGTATGTATAATTTTTTTTCAAAATATCAACATAAAACTATTATTAAATTTAAAATTTTTAGATTGAAAATGGATAAAGAAAATTTATTGAAACAATCATCAACTGTTACCAATCAACTATTATCTGTTAGTAGACAACTAGCAAATACATCTCAGCAAAGTTTGGACACTCTTGAAACTCTTTGTAAGATTATATTATTAAATAAGTAATAATTAATTTAGTATTTAATTTAATATAATTTAATTTTTCAGTAAAATCATCATCAACCGTATCTAATATCAGCAACGAAATAAAAAACGCTAAAGGTGCATTAACGCAGTCTGAAAAACTTTTAAACAAATATGGGCAGCGTGAAACAACTGACAAAATTCTTATTATGTTTGCTTCTGCATTTTTTTTTTGTGTAGTTGCTTACATTATACAAAAGCGACTTTTCTAATGTTCAGGACTTACATTTAAAAAATGCTTCATTTTATTGATCTTTATTAAACTTTTTATGTATAAATTGGTATGGTATATTTTGAGCTTTGTGATATATATTTGTTTTTCTATTATGGGTTATTAAATGGAAATTTTATTTAACAAAAATTATTTTAAAATCTATTAGTATGTTAATGTAATGCCTTACTGCCTTAATACTACTCAATAGGTATTTAAAAATGGTTGTTGTAAATATGTTATTCGATACATTGATGAACAGTTTAAATTAAGTACTTACTGCTATACATATGATCAATGATTTTGTTTTATGATCAACCATAAGTAATTTAATATTGATGAAATGTTATCATCTTTCTAACAAGTTGTTAACTAAGACCACAATAATTGGAAATAGGTAAACGTATGCTTTTTGTTGTATTATATTTAAGTTTTGTTTGACTATTCAGTAGTATAAATATTACAATTTTTTTGATTTTTGGTTGAAGTGTGCACAGACTTGATAAATTAGTTAAAATAATTTTAAATAATTTCTGTTGGATAAAATGGTTTTTAAGTAATTACAGCAATGCTGATCAAAATTAAAGATAGCTTAAGATTAGTATAATTTACATACTGATTAAGATTACCTAATAGATAAAGGGAGGGAAAATTACAAAATAATATGAGGCCGAGTTTTATTGTCAACTTGTTTTACAAAATATATCTTTTACTTCATCATAATTAATTTCTATATAGTAGTTACATAACATATTAACATAATAGCATATAAATCTTGGGGCGGCTTCCTGAGCCCTGAAACAAACTACAAACACAATCAACATTATTATAGTTATCTATATTAGTTATAGCCAATGACTGTCTACAAATGCATTTGTATACGGGTTGATTTAAATGTATTCCGTTCCAGGAATGTGGTAGAAATTGTACCTACAAATGGAATATGATAACTATCGGTTATATGCTTCTATCATAAATTAAGTAAGTAATAATCTATTTACCTAGTAATGAAGGAATCCAGTTACAGTTGTAGTTGGTGAACCGAAATCTTTGTTGTTGTCAAATAGATATTACATTTATAATTTGGTATGGTATGGCATGATAAATGATTGTACACTCGTACGATTATTGATTTACCAAAATATGAATTGTTTATAAAAATTCATGAAAAATGAAAAAAAAAGGGTGTGCTGTCAATGAAATTGGAGTTTTGACCTCAGTAAATGGAACTAGATATCCATATTTTTGCCTTAATCTTCTTTGTACTAACTGTTAAAATGTTTTTAAACGAGGTAGGGGTCGGCACAACCTCCTAAAATTCCTTATTCTCCGGCCCTACGGTCGACGGACCATAAGAATGTCGTCCTTGCAACGTTGTGTAACAAATTGGTTAAAGTAGTTGAATCATGTTAACATGTATCGATGACCATCAATCAAAGGGTTGATGCGCTACGTATAGCAAAAAGTGAAAAGTTTCAATGGAAATATAAATATCTTAGAAACGTTGCTGAGTTGATTCTACAAACAGATATCTTAGTAGTAGGTGCAACTCATTAAATTAGATACACGTTTTTTTGGTCATCGTAAATTGTGTGTCAAAAATCATGCATGAAACGTTTTTTTTTTTTCACTATTTTACCTATACCATTACTTTCTTGGCCAACAGCCGTACAATGTAAAGTAAAAACACTGAAGTAGGCAATAATAATGTCTGTACGTGTATATATATATATATATATATATAATTATGACCTTCATGTTGGTGTATTAGCACACAATATCGACTATGCTACGTACGGTTTATCACGCGGTACTTGTGATTTATTTGATTCGTCAAACCAATTGCCTAGTCGGGAACAGTTTGTCGTTGTTCACCACTTCGCCATTCGACCAACGTTGCAATTGTCTCAGTGGTCTTCGGAGGGAAAAAGAAGCAGCAGATTTACAACAAAACAGCTGCAGAGCATTTTTCGGACGATTGACTTCCTCCATAACTGTATGTATATACGGATTGACGAACTATAACAATGTCTGCGCTCAAGGCTGAGCGTCTGATAGGAACTTTTTTTTTCAGAACCCTAGATCGAAGCCGGGTGGGAAACGGAGAAAGCTGTGTCGAATTTCTCGTTCTCTACTTGTGACATTTACAATATGTGTATGTAGTACGTACTATTTACTATTCTAAATTGTGTAAACTTACGAGTGCCAACGACCAAGCACGCGTGCTTATATCGTGACAATATATATAATAAATGTATATAATTATACTCATATATATATATATATATATATATAGCTAGCTACATAGGTATACCGGTATATTTGTCCCTCTCCCAATTAATTGATTCTTAAATAATATTTTAGAAATGTAATTATTTTCATACATCCAAAATTTTTAATCTATAAAGGATGATATTTAATATTAAAAAAAACCCGAAAATTGCCTATTTATGGGCTTGATTTTTCTACAGGAAGATTTACAGTAAATTTATTAATTTTAATTTAGTATTTATCATATAGTCATGTTGTTATACATATTTTAATTCAAACATAATATATAATATATTACGGTTTGTTATTGTTAATATTATATTATTTTCATTTAGGTAATATTATACAAGTTTTATATTTTATTTAAATTGCTAAGAAACATAGCTTTATAAATGTTTTACAGAAATAAAATGGTAATTGAACTATGGCTTTTTTTAAAAAAAAAAAATCAGGCCTGCATATTGTACGACGGAAAACTGTAGTATATGGGGTTCTTCAGCAGTTAAATTGTATACATATATATAAAATGCATTTAGTAAGAAGTTATTGGCGGGTACAAACACGATGAAATACAGTATTCTGTACAGTCGATTGAAACTAGTCAACTAGAATTAAAATCCAAATATTTTTTCAAATTACCACATTTAACCTACAGACCAACAGTCATATGTAACAACGTCGCGAACAACGTAAACTTGTACACGCTTACCTACGTATGATGCGGCTATATAGATACCTCCAAACGTACTGCGGGCTCATTGTTCGTTGTCCGCAGATAATACGCAAACGTATGGTGTTGACGATGTGCCTCTATGTGATAAGATATTACGATTTATAATTATACTCGACACATTCTTTTAACGGAGTAATAAAGTAAACAAGACGCGACGAATCTACAAGAGTAAAAATCGTTTATTCTTTGGTACACGTCAAAACGCATCACTCGCACATATAAAAATACATAATTATAAATTATATTCTATCCGTCGTGTACGAGACGCACATCGTTAACGACGAGTAGCACGTGGAATATTTATAATAATTTTTACGACTTGAGATAATATCGTAGTATTATAAAGTAATAAGTAATATTTCTAGGTGAAAAAACCGATGAAATACGTGCATGCGCGTAACACAAGATATAACTCGCAAGCGTACATACGCTCGCAAATCATCGCTCACACGTGACGCTGGTACATAGCGCATGGTAATACATAATATTCATATAATCCGTACAATATTATATGATATTCGGTGTACTATAATATTATGTTCGTAAATATATAAGATTTGACATATTTTGAACTTTACGCAATACACGTTCAGTACGGACACAGGGGTGCCGAAGGGTACGGCACCTGTCCCGGGAACGCATAGTTGTCCGCGTTGATGACCCAGCACGTGGCCTTGTACTTTTCCTTGCCGCCGGCTCTGGGCGCCCGGCGCGTGGGCTCCTCGTTTTGGTAGTACGGCTTTCGCGGTGACAATCCGAAGAGCAATTCCCAAATGGGCGCTCCGTAGACGACGGCCAACAGGACGAACGCTAACGCCACTCGTAACCAACCTCGGACGGACATCGTGTGAAGCTGCGCTAGCTGCTGCTGCTGATGGTACTACCGGTCGTGCGCGATGGACCGAGAAAAGCGACGAAACGGAAAGATTTTCGAAAAATCAAAAAAAATCAAAATCAGCACGCGATTCGGCTATTATTAACCGTAGTATACACGCCTGTGCGTACGGTAAATCAATAATAATAACGTTACGTGATTTATTTTTATTTAATTTGATTCGATCACTGTGTCTCTCCGTTTTCTTGTCGCGCCTCGATGCGGGTATCGGGTAGGCGCGTAATACCGTTGAGTAAATCCTACTCGGACGACGACGGCGGTTTCCGCGACGATTGGGCGAAGAATTCGACGCGCACTAAATTATCGGTTCATTGCGCGCGAGATTGAACGGCCGCGAACAACGGAAAACCGTTGACCTCAAGGTTTTCACCGATGACGACCGAATCGTTGGTGTAAAATGAATTATTTCTGTCGGCGCGTACGGTTTACCGCGCGATTGTGGTGTGACCAGCGTATCTTGCGCGCGACGACGGACTGCTGCAGCGGTTGTGCTCGTGCCTGGTCTCCGCCACGGTCTGCCCGTCTTATACGCGGCCGAACGCACCCGGCGCCGGCACTTACCCAACCGCACGCCGCCTACCCGCCCGCGCTCGTTTTACGGTTTACGCGTTTTCGGCGCAGGCCTTGGGAACGGTTCGCGGCAACTCCGCGCGGATAAATACGCGGAAACAATAATAACGTATACGCGCGCGTTATGTTCGACGGCGACAGCTTATCGTTTATGCGATACCCTTTACAGATTGTCGCATCCGTATCGATATATGGTCTACAGCGGGTGTTTTCCGCGCAACTTTTCGTCTTTCCGTTTTTTGTTTTTTGTTTTCGCGTTTCCGTTCGAAGTCACGTCGCGAAACACCGCGAATTTATCGCGTTACATACGTGCGAACCGCAAACGAGTGGGAAACGGACGGAGCACTGCAATATACTACATTATTCGATTTCAACAAACACCGACTGTACTACAACGTACTAACTACGTACCATATGTGAAATTCAAATGAGAAAAACTCGCCCTTGCAATCGAAATCGTATACTAGCAACTGGATTGATTTCGTTTTTATTTTGATTCTGGTTCTTCAAATCAAGCAGCTACACGTCTGCAAGATAAAATACCACGCGGGGGTAAGATCAAAATTCAGAAACGTATAATTGGTTTGTAAAGCATATACTTTGTTGTCGGTCGGTACTGCTTACCCATCATAAAAACATGGTTGTTTAATTCTT